CCCTGCCGCTGCGCGTTGCGGGCGTGGGGAGGGGTTTATGCACGCGTCGTTCTGCGTGGTCGTGGGGCCGTAGGGGCTTTCCATGATGTCTTGTTCCCTTTTGGTTCTGCTGTAGGAGTGGTCCTGCTTCAAGTCGGGAGAGATCGGTCTCTGTATCTTCCGCGTACTGGCGGGCTGCACTGCCTGAGCGGATAACGCGCCCTGCTAGGTCGGCTCCCTCGGCGCCTGGCCTGCCCGCAACCATATTGTATTAGAGTAGAGGTCTCGGAAGCGTTCTGGTCCCACATGCTCTGCCACAGTCCGTTCCCCAGGCGGCGGACCTAGCTGGGGTCTCCCTTGAGGGCAGGGCAGGGCAGGGCAGGCGGGCGGGTCCCTGGTGTGTCTCGTCTGCTGATGCGGCTGCCGGGGAGCGGATGGGAAAGGGAAAGCCCGAGCGCTGCGGAATGGCATGGGAGCGGGAGGGAGGCGTTCACCGAGTGAGGTGTGGAGACAAAGCTGAGCGGAGAGAAACCTTGTTACATCTGCTGCTCACAGAACAATTTCTTACACGGCAACAGCTTTCACTATGAAGGTGATGACTTTCTTCTGAGAGGTGCAAAGTCAAACATGTCCTTCCTTGGGCACCCATTCTTGTAGGTTGGACCACATGTCTCATCTGTAGCGTAAGACTGTATGTTTTCTCTCTGCCTTACCTGCTAGACACCCAGTTCGTTGTTTTGATCTCTGCGCTTCAACCACTAATTCAACTGGCGCATAGTTTCTCAAAGAGCTCATCAGGCTGCCTGAGGCCTCAGAATCCCCACCCCCGGGGAGGAAGGAGGTGGATAATCGGTTCTTGTCTCTTACTACCATAGTAGCCTGAGGGCCTCAGGTGCCCATGTAGCTTTGTATCACGCAGGAAAACTGGCCAATAGAGGAAGGCTTCAGGAGAAAATTACTGTATTGTTTTAATTGAACTACAGCACAGGAAAAGTCCAGTCTCGTGGTTTCTCAAGAAAAGGTTATTTCTACAACAGGGATGAATCCACTGCTCAGGGATTTCCTTGTCCATTGGGGAATATTTTAAGTTATTCTGTCTTTCTGTCTTGTTTTTCCATCTGAGGCACAAGAAAGATCTCAGTCCCTTTCCTCCTAATTCTGAGCTTGTACCAGAATGTGGAGAAAACATAAGTTCCCAGACAGCATTAATTATTTCACCAGCATACCCCTTTCTGAACACACTTCTGGGTGTAAGGCATCAAACTAAACCCAGATTTAAACCTCTGAAAATCAGAAAATACAGATGGTAGAGGAAGGGTATTTATTCCCAGCAAAGGCAGGAAGTCAGGCAGCGTAGGAACATGAGGGAGGTATTAGAGTAGCAGCATGGGACCACCAAAGCTTAATCACCTCAACTGTCCAAGAACTATGTAGGATATTTAGGATTCAATAACAAGTGTTAAGACAAAAAATGAACCAACTTACAGAAAACCAATAGCTTTTTTAAACTGACAAGCATGTAAATGGAGTGTGATTTGTGTTAGAAATCATGTGACTATACACTGTAGAGAGTGAAGGCTCAGTAGATGGGAAAAGGGAGATCAATAGTTGCCTGCTTGTTAATTTATTGCCAGTGCTGTGTAATAAAATTGCTATGGTTCTCAGACACAGTTTAAATCAGGTTAGTAATAAGAGCTACAACCATTTAAATATACAACCATGATTTCCTGTGTACTATAAAAAAATCAATAGGAGGAGCAAGGAGTGTTTACAAATTCCATATTATTCTTACATTTCCCTTGTAGCAACATCTCAGTAGTAAATGATAGTCCAGTAAAAGAGATCAATAAAATTTCATCTTCCAGAAATGAGAAAATTATTAATATATCTGAAGAAAAGAAACAAACAAACAAACAAAAAAATATAAATTTAGTATGCTTATACATCCATAGCTTACTTTCATTAGTCAGACTCATGGTATAGCCATAATGCACATACTTGCCCTGGTTTTAACCTTTGTTAAGCAGGAGCTGTTTGCACATGCCCCATAGTCAAAATTTTAGGGTAATGTACAAAAAAAACCTACTATGCTATATCAGTTCCTCACCTTCATTTATAATATATCATTTCACATTTTACTCATTCATCAGGACAACACCAGACACTTCATCTCCTACCTAACTGCCCGGAGTCTTTGTGGCTTGATGATTGCTACACCTTGGCCACATAATAAACATTTTGAAAGGAGTCAAAGAGTGGGCCCCTTGAAGTTCTTGTTCCAATGCTTTCCTTCTGTTATAACCATCCACTTAAATTTTTATGACTTACTAATTGCAACTCATGTCATGGGAAGAGTTCTTCTAGACTGTTCCAGCCACTCTCCATAGGTTTGGTATTATTATATTTAATACTTCATTTACAGTTGAACTACATGAAAGCAATTTCAGAAAAGTGGGGGAACAATAGTTATGATCACATAGTAATTTGGTTTTACTCTGTAATTCTTGAAGGTTTTTCTTTGGAAGCCTGAATTCATTCAACTTAGCATTCAAAAGGCCACAACAGACAACCCTAATGTTGTACTAACAAAGTTTGGTTTGGCCTGAAATTTATCTAAGACCCTAAAGAGATCACAACTTCTTATATTACTAATATATCACCCTCATGTGAATTACTGGATTCCCTTTTCTGACTTGTGTAGCCTTGGATTGTGATCTCGCAAGAGGTGGTGTATTTAAATTTGCTAGCATAAATACAATATTCTGCACATTCGTGATTGTCTGTAGTACAATCACTATTCCCCTAAGGACATGAACACTTTAGTGGCAGAAAAGAGGAGCAGAACTGTGAAAGACACTAGTATTTTTCATTTTGTCTGCTACAGAGGAGGCCTCTGTTTTGTGTATGCTGAAGTGTTAGCACTACCAAGAGATTTGGGTGTACTTCTGAAACACACACCACCCAGCTGTGTGCATATGAGACACAGTCAGAAGCAACTGCTCTAGTTATTTTCTGTCTCACAGCATTACTTCTCTACCAAATAACAGGATGCTGCTGAAAATCAGGGAGGCCTCAGACCTCCAAAAGAAAGTCATGACAGCTTTTTTGTGCTTCAACCTTGTAAATACTACACACCTTCATCTGCAAATAAAAATCCCAAACTATTTGTATTTGAACAATTTCAAAGTGATTGCTTGGGTAACAGCACTCCTGTGGTGACAGCTGTATTAGTGCTGAAGTCAGCTTCTCAACATAGGCAATTGTAGTTCACTGCTCAACATGTCTTTGGACTCCAAGGTTTATTTGCTTTTACTTCCTAGAATCTGTAATGAGTCACAATTAGGATCAGTACTTGTAACTCAAGCTACAGCGGTAGATCAAGACAGAATATATCAGGAAGCACTAGAACCAAGAGATAAGTTAGGGGATGGAGGGGAATGTTCCATTTGGGAAGAGAACTGCAATAAGGGAAAGCATGAAATTCTTCAGTGAAAAAGTAGGGAATGCAGTAGACAGTGGTTGATGGCCTGAGGCTGGGATCCTATTGAGAAATGCAAAGCCAGGGAACTGAGGCACACCTCCATGCAGGACCTGACACAGGTGGGAGCTGCTGCTGCTCTTCATCTCTTGACATTAAAGACAGCATTTCCCAGCAGTATTACTAATGATGATGTCCGAAGAAATTAAATTTAGAATAGGTTTTGGTCTCCACTACTGAGCTTTTGTTACAAGGTTAAATTGGCTAAGAGTATTCAAAGCACTAGCTGTCATAGCTGTGCCAGCAAGCCTGATGGTATAGAGATCACGGTGTGGAGAAGGAGGTGCTTAATGCAATCTGAAGCAATGATGCATACTTTGTCATTGTCTGAGGATGACCTCATTATGCTACTAGTCGGGCACTAAGAGTGGAAACAAGATAATGTCATTGCAGTGCCATCTGGTGACAAATACTAGAATTATCACTAGACTCGAATAAATCGAGTGAAAATAAAGATGGAAAACCTACAACAAATTATCTCTCTGGTCCCAGATGGACAGGATGACTTGGATTTTCTATTTTTAAACGTGGTGGGCAAGGCTTTTTTCTCTGTTCTCCTCAATGTCAGCATAATCCAACAAGATAGAGTCATTGTTTTTACATGGAGAGAAATGTGTATGAATCACATTTACAAAATAATCTGTAAAACCTAACTTAATATGTATTCACCTACATGCCTGGTATAGTAATAGATTTTTTTTATGTGAATGAAAACAGAAAATTAACTGAGTATAAGAAGTCAGTGTTCTTTAAACCAATATTGATCTCAAAGAAACAAGGACTGAAGACATACGAGAATATATTTGTGGAAGTATACTTGTCAGATGGACATTTAGCCTTGATAAAAATTAACCTAACTTTTCCAAAATTACTTTCCCCACTAATATAGCCAATGCGTACAATACACTAAATTTTGAATATTTTTCAGCATACTGTCTTTGCCTATTTTTTTGGACAGTGACAGTTAACTACTAAGGCAAACTGGAAGTTAAAGCCTTAAAGAAGCATTCCCCAAATATATTCAGCCCTTAATTTATCTCCAAACAACCATTTGATGTGCTGTCAGCACATCAGACAGTAGGGCTTCCTAACAGACAGTTACAAACTGGGATTAGGTTGGGAAGAACCAGTTCATGTGAAACAGTTAAAGTGACTGGGAGAGACCCAGAAGGACTGAGCTCCTAGCCCTGAAAGAAAGCAGTGCCACAAATGTGTTTTATTCAGGCCATTTTCTTCCAAGCAGTTTTACACAAACTCAAATTGCAGCTGCAATTTGCCATCAAGCTGGGCAATTAGCCCAACCAAAAGAGCCCACAGGCTGCTGATATGCAGTCTTCATTGGGTGTATTTGCCTTTCTCTGGCGTCAGGAAGCTTCTTTCTTCCTCTGAAGTCCTAATGTGACACATGGCATGTGGACAAACTTTAACCTGTCTCTGATGCTTTAATCCTGATATGAGCTGATCAAAAGTGCACTACCAAATCACAGAACCACCTGCTATTCTTCATTCCATACTTTGCGCACCATGAAAACAATCTACCACCAGTCTGCTTGTGGTTATGGCCTCTACACACAGCTACCATCCAAATAACCACACACTAAGGTCAGGGAAACTGTCCTCGCAGCGTGATCCCTCATAATTGAGCCATGCCATCGATACAGTACTAGGTACTTCAAAGTACTAAACCCTACATCCATGAGGTATTTTCTTCCTCAGTACTAGTGACACCATGTATGATGCAGGAGGAATTTGTTGTTGGGATCACACGAGTAAGAGAAAAGCACAGTGTTGAAGATGAGCAGGCTACCAACTGTTGAGGACAAACTCTGTTAAATAGCACAGATCCTGATGCAGAGCTAACATCTCTCCCCTGCTCCATGGTGAGTTTATGTACAGGGAGTAAGGAAGTGTTAACCTGCCACACCTGGAGTGT